TGACAGTGAACTTTCCCCGTTTAGGCGGCGTCGGTCCCTAGGGACTGACAGTGAACTTTTTGTTTGGGCGGCGTCGGTCTTTGGGACCGGCAGTATCAAGGTTAAAAATAATTCACTCGATGAATCGCTATCTCCTTCTCCTCTCAACATTTTCGGTATTATGAGCAATACATTTTTTTGAAAATAATAACTATGAAAATTACTTTATAAAACACAACGAACTAAAATTCTCTCTCTCTCTCTCTCTGCTCAAAAAACCTTTACACTTCCGTGGTCTTTTTCTAACTGATCTCGTTTTTTGGAGATCGCTTTCTTACCGTTCTCCATCTGATTATCTTTTGTTTATACTTTGTATATTTCTATATTGGCGGCGCCATTTCCATAGCCCAAACGAAAAATGAAGCAAAATCGTCACCGCGATATGTGTATCTTCTGTTTATACTATGTAACCCAACACTCGTCGAGTGGTCGCCGCCCGTGCCGCGCCGGCACGCCACCTGAACGGAAAGCTCAGCAAAATCGGCTCCGCGCTTAACGTGTTAAATATGGAAAAACGTTTCAGACAAAAGTTGTAAGATATTAAGGAGGACACATGATAAAAATATGGACTTGACCTTGAGTGACTTTATCAAGGCCAGGTCAATGTGATCGATGTTTTCTTAAATAGAATCTCCTATTTTTTTATTGCAGATTCGTGTAGCCCTTGTCGAGACGTTTACAAAACATTAGCTATTTTTGTTTTTTGTGCAAGCCATTCCCAAGATATGAAGCTTCAAAGTTAACATACCATTCATTCAACATGCGGCATTCGTATTACCCAAGGTATATCGCATGGAGGTTGCACGGTTCGATTTATATGTGCGCCTCTTGTATGTGCGTGCGTGCGTGTGTGTGTGTCTGTCTGTGTGCGTGTGTGTGTCACAGTAGAGATAAGGACCCCACGGTACGTCACTCCCGTAGTATTTTTTGACTCCAAACCCTCTCCATTGTGTGTGTGCGTATGTTATGGTTCTAAAAAGGACCAATTTTGTGTGTATGTGTTTCTTCAGTCAAAATTCTCCCCCCCCTCTCTCTCTCTCTCTCTCTCACCGTCTCTCCCCACCATTCTTCTTCTCTTTCCCCATTAGTTATTTTCTTGCCGTTACTGCAGAAGATACTCAAAATGAGCATCGGGGGACACTGAAACCGTGGGGTCCTTATCTCTACTGTGACACACACAAGCACACAGACAGACAGACACACACACACACGCACGCACATGCAAGAGGCGTAAATCGGACTGTGTAACATCACGCGGTACACCTTGAGTAATGCGAATGCCGGTGGTATGTCAACTTTGAAGCTTCATATCTTGGGAATGGCTTGCGCAAAAAACACAAATAGATAGTGTTTTGAAAACGTCTCGACAAGAGCTACAATATGTAATAAAAATAGAAGGTTCCATTTAAGAAAACATCGATCACATTGACCTGGCCTTGATAAAGTTACTCGAGGTCAAGTCCATATTTTTATCATGTGTCCCCCTCAATATCCTACAACTTTTGTCTGAAACATTTTTCCATATTTAAAGCCGTTTCCGAGATTCAGGGGAGAGGTCGGACTTTACAGATACCCTGTATAATATGCGTTACTTTCACAGTATTTAATGACTCCCTCTGTCATGCGTACATACATGCATACATATATACGAGGGTAGTCACAGAAGTACCTGACCTGACTAATAAAGAAAACACAAAAAATTTTGGAAAAAATATCTTTATTTCTCTACATAGTCTCCTTTTAGCTCAATACACTTTTCCCAGCGATGTTCAGTAGCTTCGATACCCTATTTATAGTGGGAATCGTCGAACTCCTCAAAATAGCCATCAAGCCACCTTGGTCCATTGTTTTGACTGTTCCTTCGTCTCAGGTATGAAGTGATGGACCCATGTTTCATCTATGGTTATGAATCGACGCAAAAACTCGGCTTTATTTCTGCGAAACTTTGCCAAACATTCGATTGAAACATCCTCACGACGCTGTTTTTGTTCCAAACGCGGCACCTATCTTGCGCACAGCTTTCTCATGTCCAAATTTTCAGTCAATATGCGATATACAGCACTTTTTGAAATGCCTACCATGTCTGCTAACTCGCGCACTTTCAGTCGACGGTCGTCCAATATCATTTTGTGGATTTTCTTCACCATTTCTGGGCTGGTCACCTCATTTGGTCGACCATTGCGATGTTCGTCTTGGCAGCTCGTACGGCCTCGTTTAAACTCTGCCACCCAATATTTTACTGTTGTAAACGAAGGAGCAGACTCCCCCAGAGTAGAATCTAGCTCCGCTTTGATATTGGTTGGACTGAGGCCTTTCAAATGAAAATACTGTATCACATAACGATGACCAATTTTTTCCATGTTTACAAATTCACTGAGAGCGTTCACTATTGACGGCTGCCAAACAAATACTAAACAACGTAGCATCGTCAAACTTCAAACTTAAACTTTATAAGGTTGATACTTTCTACCATAGTCATTCTTTTCAAACAACAACCGCTATCTATACGTCAGGTCAGGTACTTCTGGACTACCCTCGTATATGTTTGTGTGTGTTACGTAGAAATCAGGCACACATACACATGCACGCACATATACCACATGGACGTATGCACAACAGAAAGGAGTTGAAGTCATTAAATATTGTAGAAGAGTAGCACACATTATACCTATATATTTTTTTTTAACATTTATTAGAAGGTTGTATTAATTCTAGTCTTATTTTGACAATTTTACCTTTATTTTAAAGAAATGATTAAGTTTATATCAATCAAAACATTTTCTATTGTCAGCTGTGACTTTTTCTCATCTTTTTGGCAATGTAGTGATTCCATGACAATAGAATAATCTGTGATTCGAAGCGGTCCAATCAGACACCTATTTTTGCACATCCTTGTAATTATTGAAGTGTGTATCTACCAAAATGTGTTGCATCAATCGAAACAGATGGTAATTAGATGATGTTAAGTCTGGAGAGTATGCTAGGTGTGAAAGGATTTCCTGTTTTCTAAGCTCTAACAATGTTTGTTTAACAATTGAAGCAACATGTGGATGAGCATTATTGTGCAAAAGAATCATTTTGCATTTATTATTAGCTATTGCTAGCCTTTTTTGCATCAATTCATCATTCAATTTGTTCAATTTGTTTGTTGCTGGTATCACTCCTATGTTTCATTTGGTTTTAGATGCTCATAGTACACCACACCTTCCATATCCTACCAAATACAGAGCATTGCTTTGTGACCATGAATGTTCTATTTTGATGTCAATGTTAATGGTTGTTCTGGATCAACCTATAATTTTTTTGCTTTGGATTATCAAAATAAATCTGTTTTTCATTTCTAATTAGAATTCGCCAGAAAAAACTTTTTTTTCTGTGTAGCTAGCAAAGACATAGCAATATTCAAACGATTTGAATAGCAATTTGAATAGCATTTTTACTCAATTTATGCGGAACCCATTTGCCTTTCTGTTGAATTTTCCCCATGGCATGTAGATGTTTAAAAATTGTTGATTTACCAACGATGAGTTGTCTAGCCAATTGTTTTTCTATTTGAGTGGTGTTTTCATTCAATAATGCTTGCAATTCAGAATCTTTAAACTTTTTTAGTTGATCAGTCTTTTGGCACTCAAATAGAAACCACCACTTTTGAATCATTGAAACAAAAATTTACATTTGGAATACAATGAAATACTTGATCAGCGTAAGTTGTAACAAGCATTTCATAAGTTTCAGTTGCCAATTTTTTCAAATCAAACAAAAAAATAATGAATGTCAAAATTGCAATTTTGTACGATTCAGTTTAGACATATATAAACAATGAAACTATCAGTAACAATAACATACAAACTGTCATATGTCATAGAGAAATGTCAAATCTTTTAGTATTGCCAGATTTCAATATTCATACTAACTATTAACTTGTTACTAAAGTCATCTATTGCTAGGGACCAGAACTAATTCAACTTCCTAATATATATTAATTTCATCTGTGTATTGAAAAGACATTTTTAAACTCTAACAGCATTCACTTTGGATCATATCTTTTATAATTTTAATTTTTGGACATTTGTTCAAGGGAACTATTGATCAGCATCATCTAAATTACAATATATCTCAATTTTAATCAATTTGACCAAAGCTACTTTTTTGTATAAAGTATATAGGGTCCTTTAATTACATTATAGTTTCTAATAAATTTATTAATAAAGTTATTAATAAAAAAAATATGTTCAAGTTGTTAAGTTGAGAAAAAGTAATTTGTAGAGCAAACAATGTTACAAATAATGTTACTTTTTAACTTAGTGCAATATCGATCAATATTAATGCTGGTATGAATCAATCAAGATGAGAATATACAATTGACTCTTAGGCCAGTATTCACAGTCGGATCTTATATTTAAGATCATCTTAAGTTTATCTGCAGATGCTGTACAAATCATTCATTGGCTATGAAGTATCTGAAAGTGAACTTAAGACGGTCTTAAATATAAGACCTGACTATGAATACTGGCCTTAGACCGGTATTCATAATCAAATCTTAGAGCCGTATTCATAGTCGGATCTTATATTTAAGATCGTCTTGAGTTCACATTCAGATATTCTGTAGTCAATGAAATGATCTGTACATCTGAAGATGAACTTAAGACGATCTTAAATACAAGACCGGACTATGAATACGGCCCTTAAAGTCATCTTAAGTTTATCTTCAAATGTTTCTTAGCCAATAAAATGACATGTACAGCCACTGAAGATAAACTTAAGAGTCTTAATTATAAAATCTGGCTATGTGAATACCGGCCTTGGAATACGTTCGTTTACCGTACAATTTTGCAATTGTCTATTATCTAGATCGAATACATTCGAGAACAACGAGGAATAAAAGAAGAGGAAAGAGAAAGATTTTGCATACTGACATATTTTCTCAAGACATTATTATATACGTTATACGTTATTCTTACCTTTGGTAGAGCTTCTTTGTACGTACAGCGAACTAACTTGTGAATCACTGAGAAATTTGCGTATGCAATCTTGGTTATACCTCTCCTCAAGAGCCATGTTGAACGCAGGCGGCATCACATCTTCATCCGGTAGTAGAACAGTAACTGCTTTACGCAGATAGTTTGCAAATGCGGTGAATTCGACGACTGCGACATTCTGTGACTCAGGGGATGGTTCCCCGGAGCCATCTAAAGAATCGCCCATACCGAATCGGCAATAGACGCTACTTGTCTATTGCCGAAAGTGATCTTCAAGCGCAAAGTTGAGAAAGCGTACAGATCGATTCACTACTAAACACCAAAACGTTCCAAAACGAACTGTCAAGGAACTCGGAACGACACAGACTATGCGACCACGAGAGAGCTTGGTAGACTAAGATAGGCAAACTAAAATGGCTGTCAATTTTATCAGAAAAAAGGTTCAAGAGTAGTCATTCCGTAAGATTTGCAGTGGATGTATTTTCCGAAACGCCCCCTGACAAAGTATATATAAACTGCGTCAGATACAGATATCTTTCGATGATAATGTCATTTCGTATTCATTTGACTTCTATCAGAGGAGTTTCTCTCTGTTTCTATACAATGAAAATAAATTAGAAAAGACCAAACCTTGAAAAATAATAAACTTTGATTGTAGCAATTTTTCATCAGGCGCTTTAATTAAATTCAACGGCTTTTCTCGTACGTTTCAGCATTAAAAAATAATGGTTATTAATTAGTGTTATTAAAGAGTCTATTAAAGAGGGAGAAAGAAAAGAAAGGAGAATTAAAACAAGTATATTCTGGTTTATGAGCATTATCTGTTTATTTTAGAAAAGGAAAAGAACTTATTCTCCAATTTTATATGGATCATGGATAAAATTTAATAATTCCAGTATATAACTTATATTATATATAATTTGATTTATCCAGGTAGAGATACTATCAAATTTTTTGTGGTACAATTATTATTATTATTACTATTATTAGTACTAATGTAACTTACATAATTTATATAATTTACTTTTCGAAATTTTGATATAAAGTTTGTTTTATTTCCGTTAATAAAATTTATACAAAAATAATAAAAATCATAGCAATTAATAATAATCATAATTTCTTTTGTTATCATACATATTATAAAACACAAACTAGAAGTCATAGCAATAGGATATACATTTATTTCACATATACTTCAAATATTAAAGAAAAGATCAGTCAAAATAATTATCATATTTATGTTCTGAATTTTTTAAATAGAGGATGTTTGTTTGCTGTTGATGAACTAGGAGCTTTTTTATATTCGTAATAGATAGCATCATCTGCCCCTGACATTGACGCCATTGTACCAGTTTTACGCACAATCTGTGAAACAAGAGATTATATTATTTAGATTATATTTAATTAGATTATATTCTTTATATATAAATTATAATATATCCTCATAATACTCACTGGTCTTGGTCCTTCACCAGGTATTTTTTCTTCATCAGCATCTGTATCACTAGCTGTTAACACTTGTTGCAACAATTGACCTTGTTCTTCTCGATTTGCATACATCAAATCTGGTTCCTATATAAATTATACTTATTTTGTACAGTTATGTCTCAAAACGATAAAAATTATACTATTATATTATTTCACAAAAAATAACTTTTTATAGTAAATAAAAATATAAATCTGTTTATTCCTTGATTTCATTTTTGTACGTTAATAATTATTTGCACATTTTATAGACAACATGCTCATATAAGTGTATGTTAATTAATATCAGAAATGACAACATATCTATCAAATTTGTAATTCTAATAAACTTTGTGACCTAAATGATGCTTCAATTTTTACATGTTTTTTAAATATTTCTCATTTGTTTTACAATCTTATTTTATATACTGGTAAAAGTTATTTATATGGTAAAAATAATTTTAATCAGAAGAAAGAACAAAGATATGAATTTTTAATCTATTAAAACTTTGTTTCTAGAACACTACATAGAACAGAACGTATTATAAGACATTTGTATTATGGGATAATTATTTTATTGATTGTAATCTTACCTCATCCATGCCTGCGAGTTTTGTGATAACTTTATATGCATATCCTTGATTTACAAGAAAACGTTGACGTTTTCTCGAATAATTCATTTCCATTGTATCTTGCGAGACAAGCGTATAGAAAAATGCGTTATATTCTTCTGCAACCGCACCTATAAAAAATAAAATATTTTATTATAATAATGTATTGAGATAATTTTTACATAAATATTATATTTTACATAAATATTATGGAGAAAGGTATAAAAAAATAGGAATTTTAAATTTGTACCTTTTTTAGCTCTAAGTATGCGTCCTAATCGTTGCGCTTCTTGCCTTCTAGATCCACCATGGGAAGAAATTTGAATTAAAACATTAGCTTCTGGTAAGTCGAAAGAAGTATCCGCCACTTTACTGACAAATATCGTATTCACTTTCATGTTAAATTTAAAATTTTGCAATATTTGTATTCTTTCATTCTGAAAATATAAATAAATTAAATTTTATTAAAATATAATTTTTCGTAGAATTAATCCTTCAAGTGCAAGATACTTTAAAGTTAAATAATTATTAAGGACAGAATATTTCAGGCTGTCGCAAGTTTATTTGTGAAAGAAAAAACTTTTTGAAAAATTAAGAAGTGATAGACTAAGGCAAATTAAATTTTATTAATTAAAAAACTTTAATAAAAAAAAACATGAATATAAATATTGAAACAATTGATAGCTGTTGTTTTTGTCTCCAAAATTGAAATCCAAAATTACTTGGAGTGTCCTAATCGTATTAAAATACATGAGCTTCAAGAAATGTTTTTTATTTTATATTTATAAAAATGTTTTAACATAATTAGCACAAGATGAGTACAATTTATCGAAATTTATATTTTAATATGATTATATATGTTCCCGGATATGTAAAGTGTTTTTGGATTTCAATATTTAAAGTTGAGATCCGACATTGAAGTAACTTCTAAAAAAGGATAAAAATATTTCGTATACAGGATGATTCAGAACAACTTCTTGCCCTGGATATGACATGTTCTTGAATGAATTTTGAGATGATTTCTTTTCTTGCCAAATATTATCTGAATCTTATTTTTGAGTTACAAAGATAAGTAGTTTGCTTGTTACGGATCGAGTGCAGGAGGTAAGCAAGAGGACTAACCATCTGATGCAAGCGCTTATTACGATGAAAATTGGCAAGACTATTCATGGTACTCACATATGAGTCATTACCAGACATTGGTTAAAAAGTTATTAACAAAAGGAATTTTGTAAATGAAATGTATTTTTTCAGCACAATGTATATTTAAATATAATAAATAATTCATGTACATGCGCGGAAAAGGGATAAAGTTGAGTACGTTGTACTCAGGTTATACATTTTAATAGATAATAACTCAATCTAACATTATGTACAAAAATATACCGGTTGGATTAGTTTACTTCGGGATGATGGGAGGGGCAAAGCTCCTTCCTCGCATATATGTGTATCATTTATTATATTTAAGAGAGAGAGAGGGAGATAGGGGGAGAGAGGGAGAAAGGGGGAGGGAAGGAGAAAGAAAGAGGAAAAGAGGAAAAAGGAGTGGGAGGGAAAGAGATAAAGGGAGAGGGAGAGAGGGAGAAAGAAGGAAAGAGAGGAGGAGAAAGAGAGGGAGAGGGAGGAAAGAGATTGAAGGAGAGAGGGAGAAGGAAAGAGGGAGGGAGAGGGAGATAGAGGGGAAGAGGCAGGGATGGGAGAGAGAGAGAGAAAGCACTATGTTGAAAAATTATGTTCTATTTATAAAACTATTATCTTGTTTAATTCTTGTAATAACTTTTAGTAAACAATAAGTGATAGGACTAAAACTTCCTGAAAATAGTACAATATGATGACCTTGACAATATATGTCAAAGTCACAATTGTATCTTGTTTACAACTTGTTATCCATCAGTATATATATTCATTCAATGCAATATTTACCAATAAAATGACTAATATTCAATTCACAAATAGCCAGTTCAATATGTTAGAATTTTTCACTTTACTAAATTGATGAATTTATTATATACTAAAATGACAAATTTTGAGAAGATTAGTAAAGATTATTATGCAAGAAATAATGTTAAAGATTTTAGCTCTTACTATTGGAGTACAATAAAATATATACTGCAAGGAAATATTATTCTAAAATATTCTATATATAATTTTCGTCCTTCCTTTCAACATATATTTTCAACATAATATGTCTTGGAAACTATAAAAGATCGTCAATAAAATAAAAGGAAAAATTGTTTAGTATTTTTACCTCTTGCAACATATATTAAGATTAAAGTTATCTGTGCTACGCAAGTTCTTCTGAAAATTTATTATATTTTCTCGAATTATATATATATATATAATATGAATTATTGATATTCTCAAATCATTTATTTCCTCTACGTTTGTTAATATCTTGGTCAGAAAGGGATATCTGTGCTCTTGACTGAATCGTTCTGTAGTGCTACTTTTTAAAATAGAGAAGCCAATTTCTATCATCGATGACGGTTTTAAACAGAGAATTTGATGATTTCAAACTATATAATAATAATTATTATTAATGTACATGTATATTATGGTTAATATATATTATTGTTATTAATATTTAATATAAATTATTAAGTTAAATATTATATAATTATCTATAATTATTCTTTCCATAAATCATGTAAAAAAAGATATTTTTTTATGTATTAGGAGCGCAAAAAAGTTCTGAGCCCTAGATTTCATACTACTGAAACCACAATTTAAATTGCATTAATTTTCCCGCCATCTTGTGGTTTTAAAGCAGTGACATTTGGTCTTTCGAAACATCGTGCGATTTGGCGTTTGATGCACATAACCTTAAAATCAGCAATGTTCACGATGGCAATAACAAAAGAGCATATTCGATTTTCCATCCATTTCGCGTTTCATCTGAAGAAAAATGCTGCTGAAGCCACTGAAATGATCTGTGTTGCATATGGAGAGAACGCTGTAAGTTATGCTACGTGTAAAAGGTGGTATCAAAAATTTCGCCAAGATTTCAGTTTTGAAGATGAACCGCGTGCTGGACGCCCTCAAAAGATTGAAACGGACGAACTGCAAGCATTGTTGGATATAAACTCTGCACAAACTGAAAAGGAGTTTGCAGAGCAACTTGGCGTTACGCGACAAGCCATTTCCACACGTTTACACGTGCAATGGGAAAAGTTCAAAAGGAAGACAGATGGGTTTCGCATGCACTGTCCCAATACAACAAAAATCGACGGCGTGACACGGCACTCACTTTGCTTTCAAGGTTCCGGAAAAAGAATTTTCTGCACCAAATCATTACAGGTGATGAAAAGTGGATACTTTATGATAATCCGAAGCGTAAAAAATCATGGGTTGACCCTGGTCAACCTTCGACATCGACGCCAAAGACCAATATCCACGCCAAGAAGGTTTTGCTTTGCATATGGTAGGATTGGAAAGGTGTATTGTATTACGAGTTGTTACAGCCGGGTGAAATAGTAACGGCAGATCGCTATCAGCAACAATTGAGCAATTTGAGCGATGGGTTTGAAGAAAAGAGGCCATTTACTGGCAAAGGACGTCGTACAGTGATACTGCTTCATGACAATGCCCGACCACATGTTGCGAAAGTGACTCAGGACCATATCTTTGCGTTAGGCTGGGAACTTCTCCCGCACGCGGCGTATAGTCCAGTCATGGCGCCTTCCGATTACTACCTATTCCGGTCTCTGCAGCATTTCTTGGCTGATACACATTTTGTGACACTTGAAGAGATACGAAAATGCATTGATGACTTTATCGCCTCGAAGCCGGTGAGTTTCTACCATCAGGGAATTTGCAAGCTGCCCGAAAGATGGCAAAAGGTCATCGATGCAAACGGGGAATATTTCATTGATTAATATAGTTTTGTTTGTTTTTAAATAAATTTTGAATTTTGCAAAAAAAGGCTCAGAACTTTTTTGCGCTCCTAATAATTGTATTCTGAAAAGTCGACTGAGTCCATTCCGAAATTAATCGAATCAAATATTATTGCGGTATAATAAAGTTTATTTCCATTCCAAATAGAAAAATCGCGTAAATATAAATAGTTTATCTCGCAGTTTATGCTCTTTATATGTATTTAGCGTAAGACACTACTACACTGCTCAAAAGAATTATGGCATAGATAATTTATTGCCGAAAATTGGCCAACTTTGACTGGCGATTACTTCGCGAAAAATTATTGTAGACTAATGATTTTTTTTTCAAAATGAAGCTTGAAGACTCTACTTTAAGAATGTATCTCCATTTTTTGCATGCGATGCACCCCTACCCCTGTAACCCCTGACATCTGAGGGCATGTTTGGTATACTGAAAATTGCAAAGTTTGACGGAATGCACGGACGTGGACAATTTTTTTTCGGGGACGCCGTTTGCACGGTCACAAAGTTTAAATCTTCCCCTTTAATTTGAAAAAAATGGAGTCGCTACAATTTTTTCAAATTAAAGGGGAAGATTTAAACTTTGTGACGATGCAAACGGCGTCCCCGAAAAAAAATTGTCCACGTCCGTGCATTCTGTCAAACTTTGCAATTTTCAGTATACCAAACATGCCCTCAGATGTCAGGGGTTACAGGGGTAGGGGTGCATCGCATGCAAAAAATGGAGATACATTCTTAAAGTAGAGTCTTCAAGCTTCATTTTGAAAAAAAAATCATTACTCTACAATAATTTTTCGCGAAGTAATCGCCAGTCAAAGTTGGCCAATTTTCGGCAATAAATTATCTATGCCATAATTCTTTTGAGTAGTGTATATTTCTTAATATTTGCGTTACTCAGAATATGAAAAGTTAACGTTGTGTGCTACATAGAGTATAAAAATAAGTCATATTCAGATTCATACTTACTTGACTAGTAGGACCGTAAATATATGGCTTATTCATTTTAATAGCATAGTGTTTTAATGCAAACACATTATCTGAGAAAACTATTGTTTTATCCCCACGTCTTTCATGGTATCGGATTAAATATTGACAACAACGAAATTTATTTGGATTCATCACATACAATAACTGAAATAAAAAAGAAATATAACATTAAAATATACAATTTTAAGTTATGTTTATTTATATGTTAAGAGTTTTAAATTATATTTAATAATTATAAATAATACAAAGATATCTAACCAATTTTTTGCTCATTTTGCAAGCAAGGTATTCTCTATAAAATTCCGGAGTCATAGGACACCAAACTTCAGCGCATTGTACCCTTGCAATAAATCCTCTTTTTTGTAATTCCAACCAATTAGCTTCGTATAATTTAGGTCCAATTAAAAAATTCAGGTCGGCAATCTTATCATCTTCTCGCAAAAGTGTTGCTGTTAAACCCAATTTACAATGAGACTGAACAATCGTTAACACTCTTCGGAACATTTTTGCAGGAATAGTGTGTACTTCTAAAAAAAAATAATTAGGAATTATTAATTTAAATAAGTTTAAATAAAAATACATATTAGTATATTATGATAATATGCATAAAACGGAATTCACCATCTAAGACCATAATACCCCATTCTTGTTCTTGAAGCCACCGCATCGTTTGTTCAGCTTCCCAAGAACGTTTCTGAGTGTGAGTAATCATGGAATATGTAGTTACTAATATTCCACAACCCATAGGTTTATCTTTTGCTTCACTAGTAAATCGACAAATCATCGAATCATCAGCGGTAGACCACATTTTGAATTGTTGTTTCCATTGTTCGACAGACACACCAGAGTTACATAATACCAGAGCGCGTTTACGTACTGTACAACAAGCTGTGACTCCGACTAAACTTTTACCAGCGCCTACACTTAACAAAATCCAATATTGCCAAAGATAATATACAGCTTTTTTGTAATATTACATTCCATGTAACCGATAAGAATTCCATTCAATATATTACACTTACCACAAGGTAAGACTATTACTCCGGATCTAGCTCGTCCATTACCAAACATTTTACGCAAACTTTTCTCCTGGTATGGTCTTAATACAGCTGACGGTTTTAAATCAATACTACAATGTTGTGATTATTACTTTTAGTCGTTTATATATATGTGTGTATATATATATAAAAGATTTGCTACTTTCTTGTTTACTTCATTAATTTTACTTACTTTATATCCGGATTTACACTATCATTGCGGAAATCATATTCTGCTAATAAAGGATGCTCCAATTCAATACATCGTTTTTGTATAACTTCAATTTTTTCCTTCTCAACACAATAGCATATGTTATTTTAACATAAAAGTTTTAGAATATTTTATAAAAACTAATATAATATAATAAATATATATGTACATATGGGGCATTCCATATGAAATGATATACCCAAATTTTCGAAGTTATACGATTATACTGAAATTTGCACAAATTGTAGTCCTATCACAACTAAGATTTTTGGCCAAATTGTTTGACTCACGACCAACGGGTTGTCTAGTAACAGAGGCTTGAAGTTTTAGCATTTGGGCCGTTGTGTCCAACTTCAAACGCCGGTAAGTTCCAGTAGACTATTCCGATTTTCAAAAACAAGGAGTGATTTCTAAAGGTCTTTTTGCGCCCTTTAATCCTATGAAATCAGTTTTATTTTTAAGTCAAAATTTATTTAAAATTTTTGGAGGATAAGAAAGAAATTGTTTTTTCTCAAATTCAGACATCTTTGATTTTCATCGAAAATATCTTTAAAAAAAAGTAGAATTCTTGCCCTTTAAAATGATTCCAAGATCAAAATGGGCAGACTTTTAGTTTTTAAGATACAGCTTGTTTTAGGACCAAGCGCGTCACGCACGGTGCAACTCGGCCGCTGTTGCAAGTGCCACGGATAATCCGATCAATTCTATTGCTTGTGGCCAGACGTGATGTGATCTGTGTCGTATATCATATATATATATATATATATATATATACCATATATATGATCAAGCCATTTACTATAATATATAAACACCAACAGCTTCTCTTTGCTAGGCCCAATAAATATAAGTTTTATAAGAAAACTTATATAAATATAAGTTTTATAAGAAAAATGTTTTAGATATAAGTTGTAAGACTTAAAACTATTTATTAGCTTTATCAGTTTGACCTTGGGTTGCGTCTCCAAGGTCAGGTGAAAATTACCTCGAATTTTTTAAATGTAATCCTACATCTTTTATTGCATATTCTTATAGTCCTCTTATTCAGACCCTTTCAAAATACTATAATAATATTCACTTTGGGTCAGCCGTTTCAAGGTTATCGAGGTTTTTATGATAAGATGTCTAGACAACTAAGGTCAGATCGACGGGTAATCCGACAAACGAAAGCAAGATTGGTGGTTGATCCAGGAAATGGAGGCAAGATCGCGGTGGTTATAAGGATATCAAAATAAAAGTGATCCTTAATCAAGATGTGATAATGGGCCTAGCAAAGAGAAGCTGCTGGTGTTTATATATTATAGTAAATGGCTTGATCATATATATGGTATATATATGTATATATATATATATATATATGATATACGACACAGATCACATCACGTCTGGTCACAAGCAATAGAATTGATCGGATTATCCGTGGCACTTGCAACAGCGGCCGAGTTGCACCGTGCGTGACGCGCTTGGTCTTAAAACAAGCTGTATCTTAAAAACTAAAAGTCTGCCCATTTTGATCTTGGAATCATTTTAAAGGGCAAGAATTCTACTTTTTTTAAAGACATTTTCGAAGAAAATCAAAGATGTCTGAATGTGAGAAAAAACAATTTCTTTCTTATTCTTCAAAAATTTTAAATAAATTTTGACTTAAAAACAAAACTGATTTCATAGGATTAAAGGGCGCAAAAAGACCTTTAGAAATTACTCCTTGTTTTTGAAAATCGGAATAGTCTACTGGAACTTACCGGCGTTTGAAGTTGGACACAACGGCCCAAATGCTAAAACTTCAAGCCTCTGTTACTAGACAACCCGTTGATCGTGAGTCAAACAATTTGGCCAAAAATCTTAGTTGTGATAGGACTACAATTTGTGCAAATTTCAGCATAATCGTACAACTTTGAAAATTTGGGTATATCACTTCATATGGAATGCTCCATGTACAAAGTATGCCAGGTCTTTTACTACTGTGCCAGTGTGTTCTCTACGAGTACAAATAAGAAAAATATATTATATAAATATATTATATAAATATAGATTACACATAAATGCTGTCTTAAATAGTTATAACAAAAATGCAATAAAATGAAATTGTTCTTATTATTAATATGGTATTATATTTACAGTATGAGCAGTAAACACAAATCGTGTAAACAAATTAGATGATGGTTATCGTTGTATTTATTATAATACTTGACGACCTCAAAGATCATTATTGTATTTTCTGTTAATAATTGTCTTACCTATCAGTGAACTGTACAACCATGTGTTAAAATGCCACGATCCTTTTCGTATGAAGAATATGTAGATATAATTTTCATTTATGGCTACTAGGTAATAGAAATGTATCAGTTGCCGTGAGAGAATATCAGCAAGACTCTAACAGAAGAGCATCGGGTGTTTGTAAGATTTTATGTATAATTGCATTTAACAAGTTCATTTTTCTCTTTGCGTAAAGAATATCTATAAAGTTATGAATCAACGATATCGCACTTAAAGAATTTTAAATTATTTTTAAATTTAATAAAATTAAATTTAATAAAATTTCTGAAGAAAGTGCTGCTCTATACCAATTAAGAACTTTTTAATCTACTATATAGCGAACATTGCATGCAGATAACAGACATCCATACCATTATACACCAGTATAAAAACTTTTAATTGCTGATTATGAAAAGTAACTACAATTTTGTGAATGGTACGTCCATGCAGTCCAAGAAAATAATCATTTTCCAGGATACTATGAACTGATGAGGCAACTGATGAGGCAACATTTATAAGAAAAAATATCTTTAATACCCATAATAATCATATACAACAAAATTTACACAATATTAGAGAATGAATCTATCAATAGTGATTTAAATGCAATTTATGAACAGATATATGTAATGACGTGATAATTGTGCTTTATTTTATAATGGGACGATTAATTGCATACTCCTTCTTAGACTTTTTATAAAATATTGTGATTATAGAAAACGATGGAGAATATATCATTGATTGAATAAAGATTTTTGTTTGCCTAATCACTGTGTGACTTTTACTCACAAACTCCGCACGAACTTTTGCACTCACCCAATACATTGCATTCAGAACTTTGAAGATATGCAGTTATACAGGATGTTTCATAACAGTACGAAAAATTCATGGAGACTTAGAGTAGATTAAGATAAACATAAAAATCTTATATCGTTTTGCGATATTCACGATAATTATCGAGTTATTAATAACAGAAATCTGATAAGCGCGACTTATTCGATAATTGTCATGAATATCGCAAAACGATATAGGACTTTTATATTTGTCTTAATCTACTGTTTTTACAAATTTTTCGTCTGAGTTATGAAACACCCTGTATACAGGGTGTCCGGAATGTGATCATTAATATTTTGTGTACTGGTAGATTGGGTGTAGCCGCGAAGAAAAGTCATGTACCGTAATGTCAAATTGGTAATAGTTATCGAGTTATTAATTGAAACATGTGAGCCAATGAGCGCGTAGAGAGCGCTGGGCGGCCGCCTCTTGTCGTTTGCGCTCGCTCGCTCGTCGTTCGCGCTCGCTCGCTCCTCGTCGCGCGCGCATGCCTCTTGTCTCTTACGGTTGCCTTTCGCCGCGCGAGGTAAGCCATCTTCTTATACACGGAGCCCGTCCTGTCGCTTTCTCGTGCTCTCATTCGTTTACACATTTTTATTAATTACGGAATAAATATTGAAAAAATTGTAAAATGGCACAGAACTTTTTTAATTGTTTTAACGAGTTCTATCAGTACACAAAATATTAATGATCACATTCCGGACACCCTGTATACACAATTATGGTTGGATGAACATTATCCTCAACGATAGATCGAAGAAGACCAATTCTTTGGTCCGTGAAATCATCAGATAATATACCACTAGATTTGTATTTATAAAGAATGCTGAAAGCAAAAGACCACACAAGAGTTAATACTTGTCACTAATTAATAGAAAGAATTACTATCGCATTTAATAGATCGTATTTAGTAAAAATAGAAGAAAATCGACATGAAATTTATATGATGATAAATTCAACATTCCATCGATATCAATTTATATATTGACAACAACGGCAGACATGTTGAAATGAATCAATAATAGCAAAAGCTATTTGTGTAAACAAATTAAATAAATGGTTAAAATTGTCAATCTATTTTTACACAATACCATGATAATACGAACAAATCTGTTATCATTTCATTGCATTTTTGTTACATCTTTTTATTAAAGTATTGGTAAACCTATGTTTATATAATTTTTTTTTCTTACTTCTACTCAGAGAACATACTAGCATAATTTAACTTTAGAGAAACATTGCAGTCGCTCGGGCAAGAGTGCGGCCCAGTTGATTTGGCAACTGTTGCTAGAGTGCGGCGAAGGAAAGGACAATATAACGTTATCAAGCTATGAGCTAGTCTTATTTCGACGCTCCTACGTCTCGCCACGTGTCAGTAACAGTTGTTGGATCAACTGGGCCGCGCTATAATTCAAGTAGTTGAAACGCTCCTCCAATCATTCATTTTAGCTCACGCTCATTTGTCAGATTTCTATAATTAACTCAGTAATTATTACAAATATCGCAAAATATGAAACTTTTATGTTTGTTTTAATCAGTTCTACGCCTCCATTGACTACAGTTACATAAATTACCAAACACTCTGTATATAAATATGCGTTTTCCAGAAATGTCAAAAGTAACTAATTTCTTATATAGAACTTGATTTTTTCCTTTAAACAAAAATTGTAAATCTTGTTGAGATGTTTCAAAAATATATCCCAAAATTGTCTTTTACATAAAGAGTGTGTCACTTAAATTGATATATGAAATTAATATATAAAAAATAAAGCAAAATGAAAAGAAATGTCTGAGACAAAAATTGTAGAATTTCAAATGGACATATGGTAGTGTTGTATGCAGTTTGATATGCGAGTGGGTACCAAGGTGAAATAAACATCAACTTAATATTTTTTAATAGGACCACCTATGTTTGTAGCCGTTTTTATGACGAATTTTTATGAATTCAATGACCACACATTCAAAGTTGTTGGAATTTAAATAATAAAAA